CCGTGACTTCCAATTCACCACAATCCACAATGACTATGTCAGTCACTGGTGTATCACGATTGTTTGTTTGACTTCTCTCAATCTGTCGAACAACATTCTGAACATGTGGTAGCTAGTAGAAAGTAAACAGAATTACCATTCCACTCAGAACTTTCCCGAATACCACGTGCTTTCCATCGANTGAGGTTTTTGTAGTTGTGATGAAGAACTGACTTCCGTTTGTATCAGGGCCTGAAGCGTGATCTATCGTAGCATCAATCGCACCTACCAGCATTGGCCATGGACACCCAGCCAGCGCCATAGTGAGCTAATTTAAAGTTTTCATCCTTGAACTTCTCACCGTATATACTCATTCCTGTGATTTAGTGAATTATGAACAAGCTGCTAACCTCCCGTTCCGTCACCGTTTGTGAAGTCACCACCTTGGATCATGAAATCCTTTATGACACGATGAAATTTACTTCCCTTGTACCCCATGACTTTTTCACCGAACTGCCAAAAAATATTTACAGTTTGAAGCGTACATACGTTATGTCCATTGGCGAGCGCAACGAAGTTCTTCACGGTTTTCTCAACAGTTCCCCCAAAAAGTCCAATTTCGATCCTTCCCAATGGTTTGCCACCGGACTCTATATCGAAGTAAACTTTATGTGTAACTTTAGGCCCCTTGGACTCAGTAAGGCATTCGCTTAGGAAGGGAAGAATAAATATCGCAACACAGAGTGACGACCACATCACCAGGACCAAATAAAAAACCCGACGCCTGCTAAACACTTTAAGGCGGTGTGCGACTAACGCGCGCCAATTGCAGCGAGCAACGTGAGGTACCGCAGTTCAGGTCAGTTCAGTTCAATTGCACAGGATGAATATGGCTCTTGCCAATCGAGCGTCCAGTTCGTTGTGTTGTCGGCGGATGGGAGTAACTTCAAACACTGTGTACAGTTCATTGAGTATTTTTGATCCTCAAACTTCAACCCCGTGTCCAGAACGTTGTCTCCTTGGGGGTATGCTGGAAGG